ATATACACATCTTTTTTGTCAAAGTCTTGTCTGTCCTTAATATTTTTTACATTTGGTGCCGAAACCCGACTTTATCATGTCAATAAGGAGATCAGAGAGGGAAAGACACCCTCCAGACAGATATACTCCAGCAATTGGGAATAACAACGACAAAACTGTTAATCCAAAGCCAAGTAAAGACCAACCATCAGTATCTGCCAAATCTAGTACTTCTTCAAGTAGACGACGATTAATGGAAGTGGAGCTGAAGAAGCTGGAAGAAATACAGAAATTGGAAAGAGCCCATGAAGAAAGAGAAATGGAGCGACAACGACAAATGGAAGCTAGAGAACTAGAGCGACAGAAGCAACTGCTGACAGCGAGAGCTGAGCTTGAGTCTGCTTCAGTGTGTGGCAGTCAACAGTCAAGCCGCCCTAGTAATCGATCTGAAACCAAGGTAGGACTTAGCATAAATCTTGATGATGAGGAAGAACCGCAAAGCAAGGTTGAAAGGTGGTTGAATGATAAAGAACCGACAGTTCTTAAGTCCTCATCAGCCATCATGACCTCAGCCGTGCAAAAGCTTGCGGATACCTTCCAAAAAGCTATACAGCCTGTTTCATTTCGTCAAAAACTTCCAAACTTCAGTGGCAAGCCTGATGAATGGCCGATATTTTTTTCGGCGTATGAAAAAACTGCCCATTTTTTTAGTGAGGATGACAACCTTATAAGAGTACGGAATTGTCTAGAAGGAGAAGCATTTAGAATGGTTAAGCCTCTTTTTGTCTCAAGTCAAAATCTTAAGTCGATTATCAAGACCTTACAGATGCGTTTTGGTAGACCAGAACTCATTTTGGAGTCAATGTTAAAAAAGACTCGTAGGCTACCTTCTGTCAAGGAAGATGACACTACAAGTCTTGTTGAGTTTTCGACAAATATTTGGAATTTTACTGCTACAGCAGAGTCATTACATCTAGAAAATTATGTATTAAGCCCTTACTTACTAAATGAATGTCTCAACAAACTTCCCTATAGTTTAAAATACAGGTGGGCTGAGCATGTAAGTAATAATGCTCTAAGCAGTCCCGACTTGAAGGAGTTTTCCACTTGGTTGGAAAAACAATGCTCAATCCTGAGTATTTACTTTCGTCCTATAGAAGAGAAACTCTGGCAGAAGAAAACTGACATAAAGCCGGTTTATACAAGTTCTACCGAAGACAAACAGTTTAACTGTATGTTTTGTCTCGACAGCCATGAAAGTGAACGATGTGGAGTTTTCAGGAAGGCAGATGTATCGCAGAGATGGAAAATGATTGTCGAAAAGAAACTATGTTTCTTCTGCTTTCGACGTCACCAGCTCCAAAAATGTAAAGTAAAAAAGGTTTGTGGGTGCAGGTTGTTTCACCATCGTCTTCTCCATACTGACAAAATTGAGATGTTTCCCAAACAGGACAGCGAACCGCAAAATAAAGAAATTATTAGCAGTCATGTTGTTAATAACCGTGTTCTATTAAGAGTATGTCCAGTGACATTATATGGCCCAAGTTGTCAGATCGACACTTACGCACTCTTAGATGACGGGTCAACAGTATCTTTGTTGGATTCAGCTACAGCCGATAAATTAGGCGTCAACGGTAGTATTGAACCACTCACGACATGCTGGTCCAATGCAACCCAACATTTCGACCCAACATCCATGACTGTGAAAGTTAAAATTAAAGGGTTATATGAGGACGAAGTATTTACATTAAACAATGTACGAACCCAGTCATCATTGAACTTACCAAAACAAATGGCGGATACTGTCAAACTGAAAAAGAAGTGGTCTCACTTACGGTCAATTGGTCAACCTTTACCGTCAGCAAATTTGAAACCTACAATACTTATAGGTCAAGACAACTGTGACCTTATTCTAGCAAGGAAAATAGTTGAAGGTCCTCCCAACTCTCCAGTCTTGTCTTGGAGCCGTTTAGGCTGGACATTGCACGGTAAATGTCATGAACACATTGGACGAGTAGATAGTCAATTCACTTTAACGTCTTTTGAAAGTGAAAAACTTCATGATATTATCAAAGATTCTTTCGAAATTGAGAATTATGGCGTGTCCCTAGTAGAAGATGACAATGTGAAATCAGCTGAAGACGAAAAAGCCCTCAAGATTTTAGAAGATACTACCAAAAAAGTAGGGGATAGGTATGAATCCGGCCTACTATGGAAGTCAGAAGACTTTAAATATCCACCGAGCTATGAAAATGCGCTGAAAAGGCTTAAGGGTATTGAAAGGAAGATGGCAAGAGACGAAAACTTTCATAACAAATACAAAGCCAAGATCACTGACTATGAAGAAAAAGGTTACATCAGAAAACTACGTGATGACGAAGCTAATGTTATAAATGACCGGACTTATTATCTGCCTCATTTTGGGGTAATAAATCCAAACAAACCTGAAAAACTGAGGTTAGTATTTGACGCAGCTGCTAAAGTGAATGGTGCATCATTCAATGATGGTTTGCTTAGTGGTCCTGACCTTTTGAACCCTCTGCCAGCAGTACTTCTCAAATTCAGATTAAGAAAATTTGCGATCGCAAGTGACATACAAGAAATGTTTCATCAAGTACGTATCAGAAAAGAAGATGTCGATTCGCAAAGGTTTCTATGGAGAGAAGATCCGAACAACAAACCAGATACCAATATCATGGAAGCAATGATATTTGGATCAACGTGTTCCCCGAGTACTGCCTTGTATGTAGTAAACAGCAACGCCAAGAGGTTTCTACAAATTTACCCAGAGGCAAGTAAAGCGATCCTCTGCAGTGAATACATGGACGATCTACTAGACTCTACTGATACAGAAGAAGAAGCTAGAGTTAGAATACAACAGATAACAGAAATTCACAAGTCCGGAGGTTTTAAAATCTGTAACTGGTTGTCAAATTCAAAAGAAATTTTACTTGAAATGCCGGAAGATTTGAAGGCAAACTCTACAAAACAGCTGCAACCTAAAAGTCGTCTAGCTACAGAACGTATCCTCGGAATGTGGTGGGATGCTGAAACTGGCCAATTTTCATTTCACCGGAACGCCGAAAAGGTACAGTTGGGTGAAACAAGGTATCCGACCAAACGTGAAGTTTTCAGAGGAGCTATGTCCATTTTCGATCCATTTGGATTAGTTGTACCTACTATTATAAAAGGGAGAATGCTTGTTCAAGACTTTTGGCGAACAAACATAACGTGGGACGAGGTTCTTTCAAGAGAACTTAGTAAAAAATGGCAAGACTGGCTTCAAACAGTGATTGTCTGCAGAGCTTCACCATACCTCGATGCTATTTTGACGTCAAAACAATTGAAAAAGTTGAACTCCATATGTTTGTCGATGCTAGTGAAGAGGCTATGCAGCAGTTTCATATCTACGTGTGCCAGAGGTACCCGAAAACTGCCCAAGAAATACATGGCCCCTTGGCCGAATCTCGGCTGTCTACCCAGGTCACGATGGCCAAGTACGAATAGTAGACATCACAACATCAAAAGGAACTTATCGTCGGCCTCTGACTAAAGTTGCAGTCCTTACCGTTGGAGGAGAAAAGATGTAATATGTTTCATATTACACATTGACTTGTGTTCTTTAATATGTTATATAATTTATGCCTGCCTTCATTCTTTATTTTAATTGAACCAACATATGTTTTATTATCATTATGACTTTGTAAATATGTCCAATAAATATACACATCTTTTTTGTCAAAGTCTTGTCTGTCTTTAATATTTTTTACACTTTCACATTCATAATATTAGTATGATTGTGATCAAATTTGGAAAATGAATTTATTTCTTACTAAACTATTAACATTTTACAGACAAACTTTTACCCTCCCTGTTGCAGCAAACCTAAGTACACGTTAAACTAATGCTATTAAAATAGGGAATATAGGCTATGTGATATTTTTAAGTATACATTTTAGTGTAAATCCAATCAGGCAAATGGAAAATCGCTTAGTCTGCAGGTTTGCTGCGGTTGGGGTATTTATTTTTAAGTTATTATCTTATCCTCATATGAATATTAAACGAGTCTACACTATACAAGAATATCAATGTATTCGTGACTATTTGCGATGTTGGATTAAATACCAAGTAGTGTTTTCATTTCAATGGTGACAAGTTAAAAAAATATTGATACCAATACCAACGAATTGTGAACAGTCTTGTTTGAATTGATTTCAGTCTGAGTTGTGTACTGATGTTCTACAAAGTAAATATTAGTTCCCTTTTAGCTGTAATAAGTAAATGGATACAGTAGCCTAAGCACAAAATCATTAACTACTACTCGTATAATTTGAATTGCCGGAAAATGGGTTCTTAAAACCAAACAGAGTTTCGATGATATTCAACACCCACGTCGTTCGTCATCTTAAACAGGGGGAACAGGGCGCATTCAGCGATAAAGCATCGACCCCAAATGAAGCTTTAAAAGTAATGACAATTCAAATAAAAGCTGGTTTGAGTCCGAGGAAACATTATAACGCACGAAATACATTTTCTCGTCGTTTAAAGGGAATGTTTTACTAGTTTTTACTTCAAAAATATCACAGACCAATAAAGTACCGTAAAAAAGCTAAATCAAGTAGGCGCAAGATCTGGTAACGAAAAACTGGCTTACATCAGTTGGGGGACGCACCTTTTAACTATTTTTAAGCCGAATTGTTTTAAACTAAACATATTTTATACCGTTTTCAAATTGTTAAATGCTAGTTTGAGACTTAACTGAACCTGATCAATGAAGGAGGTAGGAATGAATTGTGAAACCTGATGTATTATTATTTCATAAGCGATTGTAAATCCATAAATTACAATAATTTAATACCTTACCGTCATCACTTGTAGACATATTTTTAACAGCAAGCCTTGCTTAATCTATTATTTTAGGCAATATTTTAACCATGGCATGTTTTAGCAAGAAACTTATAGAGGTGAAATCAATTATATTTTATGATTTGAAATGTTCACAGTGTAAAACTGTTCCTCACCTGTCCGCAAGACTCCCCCAAAATGGCGCTGCCAAAAATTCTACAAAAGGCCTAGAACCGATTAAAAGTCCACACTGGCCCGGATTCATCCCCATCTGCTTGAAATACACACCCATGAGCGGAAAAAGAGAACCGAACGCGGAATAGAAAAAGAAATAGAACGTTTTTACGGTCAATAGTTCTTGATCCACATCTCCGCACAGCAGTTCGATGATGTCGGATTTGCCGCGGATCTTGTGCGTGGCCTCCTTTGGTTGTGGGTAGAGGTTCGGGTCGACTTCCCCGAGGGCCTCCGGATCAACCTTTGGTCGGATACCCGGCTGGTTGATGGGGATTGACCCCGGATCTCCTCCGTAGCCGTCCATGGTCAGAGGGTGACTGTAGACTGAGGTCGATACTGAAGAAACCACCCCCGGAGGGTGAACTCGCCCAGATCAATATACAACGCCGCCACCCTCTATCACCACACTAGCGACTGACCTGTAATAACAAGTGACACACTTCCACTTCACACGTACTCCTCACCTCACCAAACGCCGCGCCGATATCATGATGTTAAAACAATACAAGTTATGAATATATAAACAAAAACCATATAAACAATTTTTACTATGATTTACTAAATTTACTATGCTTCACTAAACTAGATACACCATTAGGGAGTTATGATAATCGTGAAATATTCATCTACTCTGTATTGCGTTTTTTGGAACTTGATTTTTTTTACAATTAAGGTAATTAAATCTTAAAGTAATTAAGAAATTATGACGTTAAGTAAAAATGCTATAACTTACCTTCTTCAATGTTTTAAAAATTAAGAGATTTTTTAAATGTGATTACAATAAACCATTAGAATTATCACAGTATGCAGTTTTAAAAGTATGGCCTATTTGATTTTATTTTGCTGACCAAGGTACTAAGCATTTTGATGCCATGTGACTACATACGACCATAGACAAACCCCTACGACTACGACCATAGCATAGATAAAACATATAGTACTCCTCAAGCGTTAATGTCATGAGGGAGGATTATGTTTTATCTATGGACATGACATATCCTCCTAGAAGGCTATGCCTATGATCATCGGCCTGATCCATTTTATAGCGCGGGAACCGATTTTGTAGACGCCGTGATAACAACCTCGATATTCTTCAAATTAGTCGACAAAGTTAATTCATTAGTTTGAATAGAGAACCGCTGTCTTTATTTATTTATTTCCCAACGGTTTATACCAGTTTACAAAAATGGATACAATATTATGTTAATGAGATGGCTAAATTCATGCAACAGTAAGAGTGGTAACAGCAAGAACGTAATAGAATGAATAACAATTAACAAGTAATAAAATATATCTATATAATTAATACGCTACATGAAAATTTGTCGGTTGAACTCATCCGCCATTTCTTAACCGATTTTATCCATTGACGTCTCATTGGAAAGAGCGTGTCACTGTGGATGCGATACTCTATGGTGTGGATTAACGTCCGCACGAGTGAGTATTTTGACTATCCGCAGTATCCTGATAATTAGACCAATTCGTATATACCAAGGCAAAAATGTGGTTCGTATTCTACTATAAAGTGCAGGTCCCTTAGTTGCCATTAGCTGTATGGGCTATTAATTAACAGCTGTTTCTAAGGATATGTCGGCCTTAGTCATTAACAAGATGACTACAAGATCGCGCCACTCATCCTACACTCATCTCCATTCATGGCTTAAAATACCTACTTTGTATGGTCGCCATTTCATTGAAAAGTATAAAAGTAAAGTATTATTAAAAGAAAGAATCTAAGGTCGAGAGAATTACCGTTTTCATCTAACTTGTTAATGAATTAAATATAAAGCTATTTTGAAATTTAATTAACTGTTAAAGTGATGATTCTAATCTAGCAAGGAATAATTTATGGTATTGTGTTTTTAAAAGTCTGTTATAGTGTTATAATAAATTAAAGAATTTAATGAGTGAACCAGAATCATAGCCTAAGCCTACGTTAATAGGCCTTAAAATGCATTCATAGCTAGGCCTTGTTAAAGTTGACAGTAGGGTAAAAATGAGAGAGCTAGCACCACCGTGTTATTAAACGGCTGAGAGAACTGGCACGGGGAGAACGTACATGGGTGAGAGAGCTGGCACGGTGAGAGAGCTGGCACACGGTGTCGAAAGTTTCCGTCGGCGTGTCGGGGTGGACGGCTGAGAGAGCTGGCACCGCGGAGGCTGGCACACGGGAAAGGTGTCGGTGGTGTGTCGTGGTGGACGGACGAGAGAGCTGACACCGTGGAGGGTACAGGTGTGACAAGATGTATTATAAATATTTAAATTAACATTTTGATTTTTAAGGTGGTGATGATTAACTCGCAAACGCTTGTCGCTTTTGTCAATTAGTGTTGAGTGTAGATAGTTTTCCAAATGCGTGGAGTAAATAGAGTGTTTAATTGTTAGCCTGATGTAAGGAATAATGGATAAATAATATGTTTATATAGATTAATTTAAAAACGATTATGGTGGAATCGCAAGCGATTTTATGGCATGCGCTCGTATATCATTTAACGTTGAGGTTGTTTCCACAAATATGTGACATATTTTGTTTGGGAATTTGTGTTCGAAACTTATATTTTAAAAACTACCATGTGATTAAAAAAAAATATATATATAAAATATTAGTTTCATCTGTTTAAAAAATCTTAGGACTGACATATGTTGTATTTTAAAATAAGTTAAACAATTTACAGATTGTATAGTATTTAGATAAGCGCTTAATGGATTTGCATCGTGGCTTATCGTGACGTTGCAGAAAACATGCGATAGTGATAACTGCGAGTGCATCATCAATTCATTTGAGTCAAACAACAGATAAGATGTCTAATTTATATACCAATTATTTGTTTACAATCTGAAGCAAGTCTTTATACTGATATCGATACGAGGTAGGTTGTGTAGGTCATGTTTCAGGTTGACGAGCGGTTATCGTCTCGGGCTTCGACGCCACGGGACCGGGTTCGGGACTGACGAAGGTAAGTATATTAGGATAATTTATTTTTACTATATTTAATTGTAATTTATATATGTAATAAAAGAAATGTTTTTGAGTTTAGTATATATTTATTCACAATAAGCAGTAGTACTACAGTATAAAAAATGTCTATTATATATCATGTTAAACAATATTATCTTTTTGAATCCAGGAGTTTTTGGACGAAGGAAAACCAAGCCATTTTACAAACACTTTATCATCCTTCTTCTTGAGAATCTTTTCGACTAAGTAAACGTCTTTATGTTTAACCTTAGTTAGCTCTTCTTGATAGAATCCTCCGGCAATGGGTTGGTTCTCGGCATCTACCAACTTGTAAGTGACGGGTTCTGTCGGAACTACTTGCGTGATGCGAAATATTTCTGTGGAATAATTCGGAGTATATCCCTTGGCGAATTCCCCTTTATATTTGCTAATGCGGACGTAGTCGTTAATTTCAAACTTAGGTATCATTCGTAGTTTGGGTTGTTTATATGAATAAATGGTCTTTAGTAATTCCATTTCATTCTTCTTTGATACGTCACACGGCTTCATTTTTATAGTCGAATGTTTCTTTGTATTGTAGAAGTCCATTAGTTGGTCTAGTATGTCGATCCAATTGTAAGTACCATTAATTGTAAATTTTTTCCACATAAAATTTTTTAACGTGCGATTAAATCTTTCTGCCACGCTCGACTTTAAAATGCTGTAGGTAGAATAGTGGTTAATTTTATAATCACCCATCAACTTTTTAAACTCGGAATTGTAGAATTCTGTTCCTAAATCGGATTGTAAATTTTTTGGAACCCTTCCCTGTTTTAATATGTTTTCCATTGCAAAAGTAACCTCTTTACTGGTTTTAGTTTTGAGAGGTCTTGACCAAGCATATTTTGAAAAAACGTCAATTACTGTGATTATATACTTGAATCCCTTATTGACCTTGTAATATTTTGTCATATCAATTAAATCACACTGCCAAAGGTCGTCAAACCCTTTCACAACTACCTTTCGTCGAGGAAAATTCTTTCTTACCGACTTATGTAACTCGTTAGCAATATCTTCTTTTATACCCATAATATTAGTTACTCTATAACTCCTTTATCTCTGAGCTCTGATATTATATTTATAACTTCGTTATTGTGACTAGTATTACCTGAAATCTCTGATAATTTCAATAATCGCAGCCTGTCCACAATTTCATTTATATTATCATAATGCACATAGTCTGGAGCACATGGATAAGTATCCAATTTTAAATAGGGAGTTTTTAACCCACTCCCTTTCTTAAAAATATTTTTTATATAGTTTCTGTATTTAAATGTATTTGTAGCTTGAACCTTCTCTCCATCAGAATGTCTCACTAAATGAGCATTTGTAAGCAGTAATATATCTTTAAAAGAATTCAGATCATCTTTAGTGATAAGTGTCTTATTTGGTTTCTTCTTAAACATAAGTTCCAACAAACCAATTGTTGGTTTAAATTTTTGACCTTTTATTTTAATGAAACTATCAGATGGATCGTAGTTAATTTTACTATTTCCAATCATCCATTCATCATTATCACCTAAATATACACCATACGTATGATCCATTTCATTTTTACTATCGTTAATAGATTTATTGATATAATCGTTAAAATTTTCTTCGTTTTCATCATGTTCACTATTGGAATCCGATTCTTCTGATAATGATTCATTGGTTTGAATTTGTGAAGGTTTGCTTTCATTCATAACTTTAAGTGATGACGACGGAGTTTGTTCACTATCAAGAATTGATGAATTCTTGTCACTCTTTTTTTTCTTTTTCTCTTCAATATTTTTTACTATTTCACTAATAGGATCGACGATAGGTTTAAATTTCTTTTTGAATATTTCTTCTTCATCCACAATACCTCGTTTCAGTGCTAAATATTTTTTTCTTACCGTATTACTTGTTTTGATTAACTCCTTTTTAACATCCATTTCCTTTCGAAGTTGGATGAAGACTGTGTGGTATCACATACAATATTACCTTATAAAAAATTTATCGAACCCATTGCGATATCTACCATTGTTCAGATCACTTTCTTTATCGATTACGAAAAATCCAAATTTTTTATTCCAACAAATTTGACACATATCTACAAATTCCGTAAATGTTAAGTCGGGATTAATATGATTGTTATAAACATGTTTAAGATTATTATTATCCTGTTTAAAAACAATTATCATATTAGCATTATCTCTAATTAACTGCTTCGGAATTCTGGAATAAGATTGACAAAGATAAAAACAATCCACGTCTTTGTGTCGACCCATACTAAAAAATGCACTTACGTTGTTTTGCTTATCACATATTATATCATCAAACACAAACACCGAGTGTTTCTTAGCCTCAGAAGGTTGAATTACTTCTTCATTTTCAGAGAATTTATAATAACCAATTCCTTTTACATT